TAGGCTGAATTTCTTGTAACCCAGGCATATGGTAGAAATATCAGTTCGGAAAGTGATATCACGATCCAAGTCGGTATCCAGATCTCCACCACAAACCCTAATATTCTCAACATTGGCAACATTATAAAAATGGTTATGTATAATTGCAGGAAATATAAAAATTACAGAAATATTTCGTATGTAATAATAAAATTATAGAAATAACCCCTATGTAATAATTTAAAACTAAGTTACATAATAGTAAAATTACAAAATGGTCTCTTAATGGGAAATTAAAGATTCAATATTTTCATGTTATAAGTGGTGTATCTTTTTGATGATCCTTCAACAAAAATAACATAATCAAAATGCATCCATTATGTAGTTTCTACCAATATTATAAAAAGTACCTATAACAAATAATGTGAACTTAAACTTCAAAAGAAGATATTATATACACAAAAAACAAAAAATATTGTTTAAACTCCTACTGCAACACATGAGTTTTAAAACCCTCGTTACTATACAATTTTTTTTTAAACTTCTACTAATTTGGTTGTTGATGGTTGACTTTGAAATATTATTGTAATTGTTGTTCAATAATTTTATTTGGGTTTAAGTTAAGGACATCTTTTGGCAAAAGAAGTTAAGTAAAATTTAATTGGAAATGAAAGAGAAGATGTTAAAATTTTGTTTGAAAATTTAAAATAATGAATGTACTGAGTCTAAAAATTAAAAAATCAATTACAAACGGTTGTTTAGTTCAAAAGTTTAGGTTTGACTTTTTCATGTTGTTCATATCTTTAGCATACAATGGATTCTGTATGTATAGGATGATCTTAATTTACTTATTTCCATATGTTTATACAAAGATGATAGAATCTATAAAAGCTTATCACTGTTTTTTGGAAATTGATTTTTCAGGATGTATTAAAATTATCAAATAATCAATTTTATGTTTTCAAAGGACAACCAATTTTTATTTTTGTATGGTTACTTGTTATTATATGAAATTGAATGATTTACCCCTCTTTCTAATTCTACACTTTTGGCACACATTTTATATTTTATTACAAATTTTGTCTGGATTTAAAATTTTGTTATGTATTGGCCCCAAAATTAGTTTTTTTATTTTATTTTATTACAATTCAGTTTCCTACGGCATTTTAAGACTTTTTTTATAACGTTTTAAAAGAATTTTTTCTTTAACTTAAAAAAAATTACAATATTTTCTTAATATTTTTCCAATTTTTACATTGTCTCATCTACATTAACAAACCAATATTTCTCATTGATTATGCCGCACTTGAATTTGATGAAAATAACAAATATGATTGAATCGTTGTTTTAGTATTTCTTCTATTTTTTAAATTATCAAATCCAAGTGCTGCACAATCAATGAGAAAATTTGGTTTGATAATGTATATGAAGCAATGCAAAAGTTGTAAAAAATTGGTTATTTCATCAAATCGTATTTGTTATTTCATCAAATCCAAGTGACGTATAATCGGCTAGAAAAATTGGTTTACTAATGTATAGAAGCAATGCAAAAGATGGAAAAACAATTAAGTGAATATTATAATTTAAAAAAACAGTAACAAAAAAAATCTTATAAACCGTTATAAAAAGTTGTGGAAAAAAAATTTGTAAAAAAAAAAAATAATAAAAAATAAAAAAACTAAACAGGGAACAAATTTGTAACAAAAATTTCAAATCGAAACAATTTTGTAATAAATTTAAAATCTAGGCAAAAAATATAAACTTTAAAAAACTGATAGACCTATTTGTTAGCAGGTAACCAAATATAAAACATAAGTTGGTTACCCTTCTTAAAACATACAATATGTTAATTGGCAACTTTAAAACATACAAAGTGTTCCGATGATCTCAATGGATTTTTCAAACGCATTTCCTACGTAAAACTTTTATGTTTAATCTAATATGATAATATTTGTGATCTTGAGAAAAAAAAAATGCTATTAGGGATAATTTCTTCAATAACATGCTTGTTGATTTCAAGAGACACATTAAAATTTGTTACATGGTCCGAAATCAAAGTTAGTGCTCCTGTGGAGACACTCCTATGTGGTAAAGCTTGGGACTAGATTGGTCTTTATTTAGATTGTATTAATCATGAAGTACTTGGGATCGTTTATGACGGAGGGACAAAGCTGAGAAGTAGAGTTGTTGGTTGTCTTATTTGTAACATATTTTCACCTCATTAATGCCAATAAACCATTTAATCTCATCATATTATCCTTTAGTAAGTCTTTTTGTGCTTAATAGCAATTTGATATTGATTTTCGAACAATAGATAATCACTCTCTAGCTTATATATTTTAAGCTTCTTATCCTCAAATTTGTATTTTAGCCGCTAAAACCCTTTCAAACGCTCTTAAGGCCTAAAGTTGCATTACTGATATTTGAACTCTTACATAATAGCACACTGTTGAAAAATGATGACCCTAAAAAAAACTACATTGTATTTTACCTTGCTATTTTTTGGGAAAGGGAACTTCCCTAACGAGGGTTTCCGGGTCAGCTTTCGCGCACCGACTAATCCCCCGCTACAACATGAGGCTTTGCCTCATGCCCTGGAGTTACTGCAGGTGAACCTTCATGGCCACAAGAGCTGAGTGGTGTCAGGATTTGAACATGGGTCAATAGGTTATCCACCATATCTTCCACATTGTATTTTACCTTGCTATTTAACACGTGAGAAGATAATATTAATAATAATAGTAATACTGTAACACCCCAATTTTCATGTATAGATTATATAACAAATAATCGTTTCAACATCTCCCAATATCAATTAAGAACTTACTTATAGACTAAACTACAACGGAAGCAAAATAAAATAAAATAAAATATAGTCTTCAACCAAAGAACTTCAGGTGTTACGTCTTTGCGGAACTCTTTTGTCGTCTTGTTGATCAATCATTCTCCTTAGCCTTCTTACTGCCACTTTTTAAATAGTTTCCTGGGTTGCGCACATTTAAAGTTTCTAAAAGGGTAAGCCTAGGGTCTAGTGAGTTCGTGTTGCACATACATGTCCATCACTTAAAAAAACACAAATAATTTTATCATATATCTTCAATAAATCATACAACAATATATCACCGGATGACCTAATTTAGGGGAAAGATTAATTATCCAGAGAAAGAACCAAATGTTCATTTCCCTTCTCCTTGAGACAACTCATCATCCATTGTACTCAAGTTTTTAAATATCCAAGGAAATGAGTATGATTCTCAATTCCCATCCCCGCCGATCACACACATCCGTCATGCTCACGGCGATTAAACACCCACCCATTCCCGCTAAACATGTCATCCAAAAACACACCCAGTAGATAACAAATCCAAAATTAACATTTACATGCAACCATACTTATCATAAAACATATTGTCAATAAATAAATAAATAATGCATAATAAACCACATGATAAACATTTATGTGCGAGCAACCATAGAACACGAAAAAAACTCACCTTGTTGGTGTTAGTCTTAACCGGATGTCGTCACGCTACCCACAAACATGCACCCTACAACCAACATTTATTTTCTAAGGCTTAATCCTATAAACATCGTATGTGTTTGTTTTGGTTCCATCATACATATGTCTCCTTCGGCCAACCAATAATTATTTCATCATATTAATTAGAATGTGCGTAACAACTTTAATAAAAATATTATTATCTTTTTCTTCATTTTCTTTTCATGTCGTCATTCCCATTTAATGAGGTTTTACCCGTAAAAGATTTAATACTCAAATGTCAAAATAACTAAACCTTAAAACAAAGACTTTGTTTGAATAATAACAATAAGTAATATTAACATCAATATAAAGTAGCAAATTTAAAATAACAACCATTTATGTAATGGTGTAGAAAACTAAAAATTGTCAAATTATAAAAACTGAAGGGGCTATTTTTATATATTTTGTTATGATACACAAGTAACACATTTGTTACCTATTTGTGAAAACTAAAATTGCAACTTATCAACAATAGTGGGACCATTTATGTAAATATCATTTTAATCATTTGAAACATCAAGAAAACCGTTTCAACATAAAGATCCAAATTCTTTTCTTCTTTATCAGAACAATAAAAACGTTTTCGACCATTTTATCACAGTAAAACTTAAAAACTGTTGTCAAATAAAATTTATAAAACCACCATTAATAATCTCCATTTCATACTAACATATTCATATACTAAATCTTGAATAATTTATTATAAAGCAAGTTTAAATTCACCATTTCTTTTACCAAAACATAACATTTGTTTTTCACCAAATTCGATCAATCCTTGGCCGAAAAGAGACATAGGATTGAACCAAAATACATACTCAAATCCTATAAACCTACTCAAACAACTTGATCAAGCTTAAATCGAAGAGACATACCTTAATTTCTAAAATAGCTCCGAAAACCTTCACGAACTTCAAACCCCGATTTCTATTTTGTTTCTCCAACCTTTCTTGCAATTTTTGTGGGCATTTCACTCTATTTCTCGTGCCTTTTATATTGCCCAAGTTTGTAACCTTTCTAGTTAACCCAAAAGTCTAAATTTATGACTCTAATCAAGTCATGAGTTTTGGAATTAAAATTTCATAATTTCTCTATTTACTCCTAATTAATTTATTAATCATAATTATAATAATATATTTATACCATATATTTATTTTAATTTGAGTTATCACAAATACCAACATTAATTTTTCTAAAATGGTTTTTATTGGAAATCTTTTTCTATAGTGACTTCAAAAGAATATAAAAACTTTGTGGTTTAAATTTTAATAGCTTTTGTACATAAAGATGGAATTTTGGATAATGCAACTTTCTTTGCTATAAATACCACGCCCCCACCACCTAATCTTCTTCACTCAAATACCAAAAACAAAAACACTCTCAAATGATCGAAGTTCTTAATCCTTCAGCGATCTAATCACAAGTCAAAAAAGGTAGTAGGCTCACAAACAAAGAACTCTATATCTCGAATTTCAGTTGGAAAATGAATTCTGTCGATTTGAAATTGGAAAAAGCCAACGCGATCTTCCGGTTCCGAAAGCTTCAAAATCTCACGAATCTATTTCGATTCATGGAGATGTTTGTTTTCTTTGTTTTGATTTCTAAGTTATCTTATCAACTTCCGTTCGCCATTAGAGTCTCTGCTGAGCATTTCAGGGGAGTTTCCTTCTTGATTTTTAGCCCGAGGTATGTTTTTGTGATTGGAAACGTGATTATCTTAATTCTATTATTCAAATCTCGAGTTACTGAAAATGGTGATCTCAACGGAAATATCGATGTTTACGATGAGTATGTTAAGAGATGCGAGAAGAACGTAGCGAACCCCATTAACATTTTAACTGTAGCTACTACTGAAATTGTTCCGAGTGAGGAGAAGAAGATTTGCAGGAGTCAATCGGAGAATCTTATGATCGTGAATAGAAAGGGAAATCAAAATCACCGGGAATTAAGACGCTCGGTGACGGAGAGAAACATATCGAAGAAGATTGATCGTGGTGGCTGTGTGACTGCGGTACAGGAGAAGAGTTGCGCAGCGGATGAATTGAGTGGCGAAGAGTTCCGGCGAACGGTGGAGGCATTTATTGCGAGGCAGCAACAAGCCCTTCGAAATGAAGAGTTGACTCAGGTAGCTTGTATAGGTGCATAATAAAGTGACACTTCTTTTTCTTCTATAAAGAGAAAAAATCAAATTTTAGTTTAGAAGAAAATAGAGAATATCTTCCTTGTGTATCCTTTTAATGGTTAACTATTGTATATTATAGGAAATTGACACTTAAACACCTTCTAAGTTTTGTGTTTGTACCCGACCCATATTCATGTTTTGTTTTTGTTTTTTTTTAGTTTAGACCGTAGACCATTAAACTTAAATTTTACCTATTAAATAAGTGTTTGACCTAATAACTACCGGTTCTTAGGTAAACTAATGCTTAGTTGGCATGTTGACACGAAGACATAAATCTCATATCCTAGCCACGTTATCTCTTTGTCCACTTAGACAATTAATTATTTTATTTTTTGAAATACAAAGAAAAAAAAATCCAAAAAGTATAATTAACCCCAGATTATATATCCAGGCTTCCTTCTCTTCTATGCAGTTTCTTCTTCTTTATGTCACCTCTTCTTCTTCTTTATCAACCTCTTCATATTTTTACATCGTTTTCTACTTCATCTTTGAACCAAATTTCGAAGCAAACGAGTCATAAGCAACCTTTGAACCAACGCTTCAAAAGCAACCTTCGAACCAATGGTTTTATATTTGAGTTTTGACCACCTGTGATTCCCATGTTCATCATCATCTTCACTTCACGAAGACACCATTTTCGGACCTGCAATCTAGAATCAAGGAGGTTGAGAGATGATAGACCATGTTTGAGAGGCTTAGTCTCCCGAGACTAGTGAAAGGAAAATAGGTAATTTGGGATAATTATCTGAATATTCTTTCTAATAAAAGCAAATAGATCAAATTAAAATAACATCTACCCCTAATGTTGAGAGCTTAAATTGCCAAAATAAAAGGAAACATGGAAAAGTGGAGATATTCCACAACCTAACTCCTAACTTATTTCTCAAGTTGAACAATCTTAATTGCTTGAAATTCGGTGACCAATTCTTTCTCTTGTACACTTTGACTTCTCCTTGGTTAAGCTTTTATTCTTCATAACGAGTGGGTCGTTTGTGGATTCTTTTGGGCCCTTGCTGATGAGTCGTATCAAGAGACACAGAGCAAAGACAAACAGAAATCAAACAATAACAAATTCTGATTTACCCCCCTTCCATCTCTAATGAAATCAAACAACACATCGGATCCCAATCAAACAACTATTCTTCCTAACTGTAACGTCTGAAGATTCGGCCTATAGTCAATTTAGAGATAATAAACGTTAAAAATAACTTTTTGATAAAATATTATTTATGATAAATAATCTTAACATATTTTATAGTATATGTCACAAGAATTATGTACATATAAAGAACATTAAGGTCCGACTTCGTATGAAGAAGTTATGTGTAACGACGTAAATTTTCAAACAAATTTTTCATTTTAAAATCGCATACTTTTCATAACACATTGTATAAAAATCTCGTTTATTCAAATTACAAAACACAACTCCATTAATAATCCAGGATCCTCAAAACATAACTCTTTCTCTGGTGTGTACAATCAAGCCGGTGCCGTCCCGCGATCCTGAGAAACCTGAAACACATAACACATAACACGATAAGCACAAAGCTTAGTGAGTTCCTCAAAATACCACACACAGCTCGTTAGCCACTCGAGGCTATAACTCAATAAGACACTCCGGTCAATGTGTCTCAGTGGAGACCCTCTGGTTCCACAGCTCGGATGAACCCTTTGGTCCTAACTCCGTAGCTCAAAATAATACACAGCACAAATCACAAAGACATAATGCAGGATATCACAGTACTCAAATAAATACATAAGACCCTCCGGTCACACACAACTCATATTACCACTCTAGGCATGTATAGTGAGAAGACTCACCTCGAAGCAAGCAAGCAGTTATCCCCATACTTGAATCTCGAACTAGTCACCGCCTAACACACAGGGTAAATATCTCTAATCAACACTCAAATTCTCAACTCTAAATAAACCAAAGGTTAATCTTTCTCTCTCTACTCGGGAAGTGGGTAAAAGACCATTTTACCCTTCCATGGTCTCTATTACTCAGGTATGTCCAAACCCTAAAGTCAACAAAAGTCAAACTCGAGTCAACAATCCATGTTTGACCCGACTCGTCGAGTGCACTCATGCAACTCGTCGAGTCCCCCTTGCTTCCTCAGAGTCTCATGAAAGCCCGGCTCAGCTCGTCGAGTTGACCCCCAACTCGCCGAGTTATCGCATGTTCAAGTTCGTCGGGACAAACCCTAACCGACTCGTCGAGTCGTCTCATTGACTCGGCAAGTTCATGCAAACTAAATCCCCATTCAGACGATTCTAAGCAGATCTACAACCCCACACTCCAGATCTATCCTCTTAAGGCTCGAATAGCACGTAAAGCTGCAAGCTTTACGTTCATGCATGGCATAAAGGGCTCATAATGCCAAAACATGCTCCAACAAGGGCTAGATGCTCAAGAGCTTGCTTCCAGCTCAATAAAGCTCGAGTCTCTGGACTCACAAGGCCACTCATAGTCCAGATCTGAGGTTCCAACCTCAAACCATACACAAATCACTCCATCACACAAGATAAATGGAAGAAAGCCCTAAAAGTTCTCTAAAACAAGATCTCATAAGGAAATGATCAAGCTAGCATCTTTTTACCTCCAACTGAAGCAAAAATCTGAGGAGTCTCTGGATCCAAAAGCCTTCCCTTCATCCAAGCCAAGATGCTCTCAAAATCCCCCTCTTAAAGTTGCACAAGAACACCCAAATTAGCCACTTTCTCTCTCTCAATGGATGGAACTGATCTAGGGTTTCCCACAGGGCTCTCTGGAGATAAGGGAGGCGGAAATGAGGGCTTAAGGCCCTTTAAATAGGACATAAGCCCGGAAAATTAGGGTTTCTCTGCCCAGCACCTACTCGGCGAGTCGGCTCTCTGACTCGTCGAGTCCATTCATTAATCCCACGTGGACAACTCGACTCTACTCGACGAGTCACTCCATAAATCTCAAGATTAAACACACAATAATATACCTGAAAGTCCGGGTGTTACAATTCTCCCTCACTTGAATTAGATTTCGCCCTCGAAATCGCTCTTCAACAACAGATAGATAGAACCCAAAACCGAAAAGCACCACCGAAAGGATCTCATACCATACAACTATCTCCCTCCATGAACACCTATATCCAAACAGGTTCTCTCACCCAGAAAAAGGATAGACCCTTCTGCCGCTACGATAACTCTCATGACTCTCCAGAATCTGGAAACTCTAGTGGCCTGTCTCACTGCCAGACCACCTTCCCAACATAACGTCATGCTATTCGCTCGTCGAATAACAGACCCTGACAACTCACTGCCCCTCTGATTCTCTCGTTGCAACTGATAAAACAAGACAATGCCCAAAAATTGACTACCGATCACTCACACCAGACATGTTAAACAATTCAGATCATACTCCAAAGAATGAAAGGATCACATCACTCCAAGGACTCATCCACTGTACTGCAATCAAAGCCCATCTGAACAATGGACTCTCAACACCCTGTCCTTAGACACAAGACAATGATCATGCTTGTTCAACGCCGAGCAAAGGGGTACATTCATGAACAGTCATACTAAACATAATATACATATAAATTATAATAGGTATAATTTATGATACAAAAACTCTATTTTTACTAGTCAAGTATACAAGGTTAAACTACTTTGCTAATACAATGATACAATTTAAAGTTATACAAGTATGTACAATTCACTTTATATTATACTAGAAAAGGAATATATTATCAGTCATTTATTGCAGAATGACTGTGCATTAATATTATACTCGTAATCGTCAATATGATTTTTGTGATTCTAAGTTCATTAGCTTAATTATTTAAGCGACACTATTAAAGTACTGATAATTATAACCAGAATCTCCTAACAGAGAGCGAGACAAATGTATATAGATCTATACGGGATTGACTATCTCGCACTCAAACTGTTAGCCACAGTTAGGCAGAAATGCCATATGGGTGACAAATGTTGTTACAGTTCCGGCGCCTACAAAGCATCGTATCAGGCTTATTATTCTTAGTATGGTTATAATAAACTCACAAAAAGATATGAACAAATACGATTGGTGTATAAATAATTAAACCAAAGAGTACGAATACAAATTACTGGTTTTGTAATAATACGATTTACAGTATTACATTAAAAAGTACAATTACAAAACTTGGAAAACATAAACAAAACAGAAAACATTCTTCTTATAGTTTTACCGTGAACTAAAACTATGTTATACTATTTTATAAGTACAATAACACTTATACAGAATGGTTTTATGGTATTAAAACTACTTTTCAGTTGTAATAGAAAATATTGGATTTTCTGGAAATAGTAAACATATTCGTTATTTCAAGGAACAGAAAACAAACTTTTAAACATAAATACTTATGCACTCACCAACTTAAATGTTGATACTCTCTTTTTAAAAATACTTGTATTCTCAGGGAACCAATAGACATGTACATCCCCAAGCTTTTGAGGAGACGGAGCAGTGTCGTGTTGCGTCTTTTGTCTTTTGCTATATCTACTTTTTGGTGTCAATATACAATGTTTGAACACTTATGTAAAACTTATACATTATTAATACAATGGTTGTTGTACTTTGATTACTATAATGCATGTGTTGTGATACTTAAACATGAAGTCACCCACCCCCGGACGTTTCCGCCGTTCAGGTTTAGGGGTGTGACAGATTGGTATCAGAGCATTGTTTATAGTGAACTCAGTATATCAATTCATAAAAGATATACAACTATAAATACATTGGGGCTAAAGAGCTCTGACTACAAGTATACTTTTAAAATATAAATATTTTATAAAAAGTATACTAACACTCATATATATACATTAACAACATCACAGTCATAACAACATAAATGTATTTGGATGTTGGACACTACAGTTAGACCTGGACAGTTATGTAATCATATTTGGGATAAATATAGCCTGATCAACTATATTTATTTGAGATA